ACCCCTGGACATAAAATAGTTGAAACGCCACGAAATTTGGTGTATCTTCCCGTGACACTAGACACCATACACAGTATTAGACTCACTCACCGACCAAAATGGCACGCTGCTAAATTTTTAGAGGAGATAATTTTCTGGTAAAGGAGTACGGCGTCGGACGAGTGTAAAAGAAAATATTCGTATATATAAAATGTCACGATACACAAATGTTAAATTGAATGTTTCAGAAGGGCAGAAACAAAAATTACGAGAGGCCCTTCAAAACGGTTGTACTGTCAGTGTCCGTTTTGGTCACGAAGATTTGAACGGTGAAGATGTCTTAGTACTGACAGACAGACAAGTGAAGAGATTAGCCAAAGCCTACGAAGGTGGTAAAGGAATAACCATCAAAATGAGTAAAGCTCAACTCAAACACAATATGAAAGTTGAGGGCGGTTTCCTTGGGATGCTTGCTGGTTTGGCAGCGCGTGCATTGCCTGTTTTGGCAAAGACGGTACTTCCAGCATTAGGCATTGGCGCTCTTTCTGGTTTGGCTAGTTCGGGAGTGCAAAAGGTGGTTGGGAACGGGTTGTATCTCAAGAAAGGAGGTTGTGTTTGCCAGATAGAGACAGACGGAAAAGGACTTTATTTAGGACCCGCGACCGGTTCGGGTCTAGGAGCCGTTGGTGATGGACTTTATATAAATAACGAAAGGAGATGGTATAATGGGAAGGGTCTTATCCTGGGACCTAACAGCCCATTCAACAACATTCCGATCCTCGGTGCAATATTATGAGTGTTTCATGCATACATGGTCATGAACATATATATATATATATATATCAAAAAATATATATATATATTAAAAAAAGAATGCCTGTTCACAAATTTGGTGAAAAACCGAAAAATTGGTATAACTCGCCAAGACAGCCGAAGACGATTTACTGGATACCGGTAATGGATGTAAAACATCCTCCACAGAAGGTGCAACCAGTAACGTGGGAAATTTTCAATCAAAATAAACTTACCATCGGACCAAAAGAAAATAAAACGATTAGATTAAGGTTTGGATTGAGGATGACTAGTTGTATGGTTTTAACGACACTAAAGCAAAGCCTTAAAATGAGGCAATGCAGTATACAAAATGAAGCCGTTCTCGAAAGTGTTGATGATGTGGTGATAAACATCGCGAACAATTCGAACGGGGTTGTTGTCATTGAGGAAACGAGCCTCTATGTCTCATACATTATATGACATAAAAGCAAAATCTCAAACATATAAAAATATGGAAATCAACAAAGTGAATAATGATACGCCGCTTTATCCAAAGTTGCCAACAGCTCCCCTGAAGATGAGAGGACAAGGTTATCGTTTACAGAAAATTAACGAGATTCAGAGGATTCTCGAGGAAGAAAGAGAAAAGCGTGAGACCCTCAGCAAGAAGTACCACAGAGCCGTGAAGATAGTGGGTAATGTCGATGTTGGTCTTATCGGCGTAGCAGCACCGTGATGGGGGCGTTGGCATCGGTGGTGTTGCGGCCAAAGCCGAAAAGCGAAAAGATCAAGGTTTTGGCACAAGCAAAACTTATCTACATTTCCGGAACTTCGGCTTCTTGTACTGAAAGTTACAACAATTGTGAGCTGCACCTTGGTATTTCCCAGTAAAGTGACAGTGATCTCTCACCTTCTTGTCATCCTTACTGAACTCACCTTGGCAGATCCAGCACTTTGTCGCCTTTTGGAATTGTTTGCGGTCATTTTCCCCAAAAATCATTGGTTTCGCCGGAATTTTGCCAATTTCTTTGATGTCTTTCTCCAACATTTCTACGAATATTTGGGAGACATCTTCGTCGTCAGTTTTCGCGGTGTAGGTAACCGGATCTTTAGAGAAGACACCATCATCAAAGCATTTGATGTAGTAACAAAAGCTCGATGGGGTGTGTTTCTGGTATTTCTTCGTGTAGCTCTTTCCCGGACACGGTTCACACGTATCTACGGGTTTGATGAAAGATTCAAAGTCAGCATACACTGTGAACGGCACTCTCATGGACTTGTGTATGTGCCCAAACGAAATGGTCGAGCCCTCTTCTGGCATCTCTATCTTGACGGCCTCGTTTGAATAACAGTATTCCATGTGCTTATTCAACGATTCCTGTGAGTAGAAGGGGTTCAAACATCTGAGACAGTAATAATTTTTGTGTTGGTGGTTTCCGGTTTGGCTGGACAACAAACGGCTCATGTCTTTGATGACGCAGTAATGCTGCTTTTCCCCATCAGAGATCAATAAAAGGTTTATTGTTACCCTATCAACGTGTTTGCTTATTCGGAGGGGGTAAACACTAGTTTCATAGCCAAAGACATTAATAGATATGTCTGGGTTTTGCTTCTCGACATGATCTATTGTCTTAAGACTAACTGGGTAATCAATACCGTCCATGTTGAGTTTTTCTGCTTGCATTCTGAGCATCTTAGTTATGCGGCAAGCATCACGTTCTACGGGATGTAATGCTCGAGCCAGTGCCCAGAGGAAGCATCTGTTGTCATCATTTTTGACATTGATCACTCCCTTCTTAGGATGTGCAAGGGCCTCCGGAGTAGGGATGTAAGAGCTCCCCCTCAACGGTTCATAAGCAACTGTATGAATTTCAATGGCAATGATAGATTTAAATGTCCAGTTGCTGCCTCGCAACTGGAATGTCGCCATGGCCTCCATGACTCTATCTACCATTGCATCATACAGCTCATCTGCATCTGTTCCCTCGAGGTTAATCTCGACATTAGAGTGAAAGGCTGCAGGCTCTACGATTGTTTCCGAGGCACTAACAAGGTTCACTTTTTCCATGTTACATCTAAGAATTAGCTTTACCTTAGTGCCTCGGATTCCTCTCAAGAGGTTAACTACATTTTGTCGGGCTGTGTTGAGAAACGATTGAGCATCAAACCCCTCTCTGCCATCTATGGTATATTGAGTCGTAAATTTCCTCAGAGCAGATCTTGTCTCTCTGATTTCAAACATCTGCTGCTTTCTGAATAAAGCATCTACTTTTTCCTTCAAGGCTTTTAATTTCGATGGGGCCTTCTTAACAACTTCTCTGTCTGCATCATGCAGCCATTCAACCCAATCTACAGCAGCTTTGATCGATTTATTTACTTTTTGTTTAACCTTGTCCCTGGTTGTAGGGATAAGGACAGGTTGAAGAGTCGGCACATTGATGCTAGGTACATCTGCATCTAAGAAATTTTGATCTGGAGGATTCCTCTGTGGGATGAAAGCCGATGCCAGTCGTCTTGCTCCTCTAGCAATGTTTGTTGCAGCATTCATAGCCGCATTACTAATTCTTCTGAAAAGACTCATTGTTTTTATTATATATAGATTTTTTTTTCTATAAGCCATTTTCAAATTTTTTTTTATTTTTTCATGAATGTTGTATATGTTAACCCACATACAACATTTTTTTTGCTTACATCTTGCTAATTCCTCTGGGGTCACCCACTTTAATCTCATACTTGTTTTTCCACACCCTTCCATCCCAAAAGGTTATTATCCTCGAGGATTTGTCTATGAATTGAGATGCCTTATAAATGGATGGAAATGTAATCTCCTCTCCAGTATTAACATCCCTCAACACAACAGGTTTGGGGTTATTTCTAACTGCCATTGGATCTACCTCTTTCTTTGTCTTCACTGGTTTGGGTGGTTCCTCTGGTATTAATTCCTTTCCTTTCAACAGCTCGATCAGCCGCTTCTTGCCGCAATGAGAATAACCTTTGATTTTATTCTCACGAAGAATTGTTTTCAATTCAGACAGTTTCAACATTGTTTTTTTATTATAGATTTTTATTTTCTTAAAGTCATTTTCAAGAAATGTAGAAATCTAGCTATATACAACGTTTACCTTCTTCCCATCGGTCTTGAAGTTTATCATCTTGTCACTAATCACAACAGCAAATGCTTCGGTACCCGCTGGCACGTTGGCATTGAACTGCATTTTTATTTGGATGTCAGTGACTGCGGTCTTCAGTCGCTCACTCTGCTTGCTGACGTCGAACACAAACAGTGGGAAAAGAGTCTTGTAATCGGCGGGGGTGATGTTGGGGTTTGACACCAACTCGTCCATGTTGTAAAACTTGGACCTGAAGGCTGCTGCATCACCGTACGCCCGACTGAATTGCTGTTTGGGAAAGGAGAGGTTGCGGGGTATCTAGCCGAGTTTAGCATGACAGATATATTCCTCACATTGACGTTGTCAAAGATGGAAGGATTCTGCTCTTGGTCACCGTCTTTGTCAGTTTGGAAACCGACAATGATATAGCGCGGTCTTTCAGGCGCTGATTTGACAGATAGTCTCCAGGTGAAGCTAGTTGACTGTGGTACGGAGATGGAATCACATTGCCTGATCCTGTACATTACGGGTAGAAGCGCATTTGAATCGAGTGTCTTGTAAAGCTGAAATTTTTCAGCATCTGCGGGTAGTACATGAGGCATAAACCACGACACCTTTTCGAGGGTAATTTTCCCATCATCAACATTTGCATTCCTGAAGATCGCATCGTTGTCCGTTTTCCGCACCAGAGTCAGGGTTTGTTTCATACCATACACAATTTTGTCATAGTCTTCGCAAAATCCAAAGATGTGCTTGAGTGGTACTCTGAAACTAAATGTGCCCTTTGGATCAGGAGATTTGATTATATAGGATTGGCGAACGCTAAATCCGGCATTGCCTGCTGCTGCAGCTGCAGATGCTGCAGCTGATGTGTCCTTGTACCACAATTGATTCAAACCCTGCGACTTGGAGAAGTCATCTGGATATTTCAACAGACCAAGCATCGTTGTACCCTGTCCTGGATGAAAGAGAGATTCAATCTCCTGTCCTGAAAGCTGGTACTTGATGTTGCTGAAAAGATACATGAGAGCATTATTCGTCAGTGTAACGTTATCATCGTTTGCGTAAGCGGTCCCGTCAGTTTTTGTCAGACGCCCTTCGATGATCAGATAGCTCTCGCTTGGGTGAGTAAACAGATCTTGTGTTTCAATATTGATCCTGAGCTCACCTGGGTTATTGAGATTCGTACCGGTAATCGGGTACTCATGGTGTTCGTATTCTTCGATGCTCTCATCCTTCATGGGAGCCTCAGTAAAATTTAGAATGTTCATCATATTTTATTTTTTTATTAGCAAGAGAAAATTTTTTTATATCATTTTACAGATATAAAATTTTTTACAGAACCCACAAATGGGCGAGCGCCCTGCCAGCATTATTAACATACACGTCCGACAACACAATACTATCAAGGTGTTCTTTAGGAGTACATTTCCAATACATTGCACAAATTTTGTTTTCGTAGACAAGCTTTATCTTGCCTAAACCACCGTTATAAAGATAATCATTAACCTCTCCCTCAATCTCTTCATCCTGTCTACCTTCTCTTCGGGTAGTTTCAAGACAACACCTCTATGATGCCCATTTACATCTTCAGTTTCAAGGAATTCACACCCTTCAAGGCTGATCCTTGCATTCTTGACAAAAATACATGAATCGCGTGTTTGGTAATCATGACGCTTGAATTCGATAGCCATTTTTTTTATTATAGATTTCATTTTTCTTTAAGTCAATTTTAGACCAGATCCTTGATTCAATCTTTTGACGAGGTCTTGAATCGCAATCGCCCTCTGTTGCTGCATTCCGCTCCCATCTATTAGTGAATGGATATTCTGATCAACTGGGGATGACTGCTTCGCCGGTGTACCAGCATGCTTTTGTAGAATTGCTCGAGATTTGGGTGTAAGAGCTTTACGTGCGAGACCGCGCACTCCTTTCTCAAGGAACTTCTTTCCAGCATCAAGAGCTGCAGTCTTTCCAGCATCCATAGCTTTCTTCCCAACTTCCTTAGCAACGCTTTTACCAGCATCTAGAGCGGTAGAGGCAATCTGTTTCGCAGCATTGCTAGTAAATAATCTAGTGAAAAAACTTGCGATGCTATCAAACATTCCAGCACCGCCATAGACATACTGTCTTCTAAATCCACGATTTTTTGGTATAAACATTATTTTTTATAGTCTAGATATTATTTTTTATATGCATTGACGTCCAGCACCTTTTGTCTTTTTAGTTCATCGCAAATCGATACAAGCTCGTTCCGAACGCCTGTGTTACCCGCTGCCTTGCTTGCCATCAGCAGGTCTAGTCTTTCGAGCAATGCATTAGGATCGCTAGGAATGACAACAGATGTGCCGCTCCCTTCGTAATAATCCCTATTAGTCCAAATGGTTCTAAGCACATTCTTCCATTTCAACCCCTTGCTGGCCTTTGGTCTGTTACTCTCTGGATCGTTGCCTTTTTTGAGAGCGTTCGATTCAATCATCATCTTCGCGTAATTTTCGTAGTCCTGGTCGGTGTATATTTGATCGTCTGGATTCTTGGTTACGATGAGTTCCCACAATCCCGGTGTTCCTTGGTACTCTTCACCATCCACTACTATGTTATCATCTACAAAGGCGACGGGCTTATTGCCTATATAAAAATTGCCGTTCTTATCGTATAGCCCGTACGTTCTATCAGCCTCGGATTTGGAAGCGAACTTCCTTAAATATTCTTGCGCGATTGGTCCGATAAACTGCGTATCAGTATCTTCCTTTTTTGTTGTTGAAACCCCTCTATAGATGGAAACGCTGGAAATGTGATTTTCTTCAATTCCGATATGTTTTCTTTGATGGGTCTAATATCAGACCTTATGTCTTCTGCCGTACTTTTTTGTACGTCCGTTATGGGTTTGAATATTTTACTGAGATCTGTTTGTAACTCTCGTTCACCAGTCCGTCTCTCTATCTCTCTGTTTTGGAGCCTCTTTTTCAGCTCGAGAAACTCTTTTACGATTTAATCCCTTTTCTCGGGATCTGTAATCTTTAGAAATGACATTTTTTTTGTTTCTAAAGATAACATTTTTTTCATCTCGATTTTCATCTCACTTTCCATCTCACTTTTCATTTCGATTTTCATCTCGATTTTCATCTCACTTTTTCATCTCGATTATTTTTCTCGTACAACTTGCGGAAATACTCGTGGGTTTCCTGTCTTCCCTGTTCGATCAGGGATTGCTGTAGGTAGTAGTCCATGTGCTTCTTGGAAACCTTTCTTTCTTCTTCCTTCATCTCGCGGTACTTGACCAACTCTGCTAGTATGAGTTGAAATTCCTCATCACTTACTGCATTATCGGCTAGCGCCTTCGAGATGTACGACGATATCGTGTTCAGTTTTGCTTGTGCCAAAACCTTGATCTTTTCGTGCTTTTCGGCTTTGGCCGCACACTTCCTATTCACATATTTTCCGACGATACTCAGAGCTCCGGTAGCAAGCGCAACGCCCTCCATCACGACAACAATCGGTGCTGCTACTACCGTAGATAAAAGGCTAACACCACCGATGCCAAGCCCCATGGTGACGCCGATAAGACCAACATCGACATTATCCACTATCTTCACGGCTCTGTGGTACTTCTTGCTGAGGGTCTCACGCTTTTCTCTTTCTTCCTCGAGAATCCTCTGAATCTCGTTAATTTTCTGTAAACGATAACCTTGTCCCTCATCTTCAGGGGGAGCTGTTGGCAACTTTGGATAAAGCGCCGTATCATTATTCACTTTGTTGATTTCCATATTTTTATATGTGTGAGATTTTTTTTATGTCATATAATGTATGAGACATAGAGGCTCGTTTTCCTCAATGACAACAACCCCGTTCGAATTGTTCGCGATGTTTATCACCACATCATCAACACTTTCGAGAATGGCTTCATTTTGTATACTGCATTGCCTCATTTTAAGGCTTTGCTTTAGTGTCGTTAAAACCATACCACTAGTCATCCTCAATCCAAACCTTAATCTAATCGTTTTATTTTCTTTTGGTCCGATGGTAAGTTTATTTTGATTGAAAATTTCCCACGTTACTGGTTGCACCTTCTGTGGAGGATGTTTTACATCCATTACCGGTATCCAGTAAATCGTCTTCGGCTGTCTTGGCAAGTTATACCAATTTTTCGGTTTTACACCAAATTTGTGAACAGGCATTCTTTTTTTTAATATATATATATATTTTTTGATATATATATATATATATATGTTCATGACCACGTATGCATGAAACACTCATAATATTGCACCGAGGATCGGAATGTTGTTGAATGGGCTGTTAGGTCCCAGGATAAGACCCTTCCCATTATACCATCTCCTTTCTTTATTTATATAAAGTCCATCACCAACGGCTTCTAGACCCGAACCGGTCGCGGGTCCTAAATAAAGTCCTTTTCCGTCTGTCTCTATCTGGCAAACACAACCTCCTTTCTTGAGATACAACCCGTTCCCAACCACCTTTTGCACTCCCGAACTAGCCAAACCAGAAAGAGCGCCAATGCCTAATGCTGGAAGTACCGTCTTTGCCAAAACAGTCAATGCACGCGCTGCCAAACCAGCAAGCATCCCAAGGAAAACGCCCTCAACTTTCATATTGAGTTTGAGTTGAGCTTTACTCATTTTGATGGTTATTCCTTTACCATCTTCATAGGCTTTGGCTAATCTCTTCACTTGTCTGTCTGTCAGTGCTAAGACATCTTCACCGTTCAAATCTTCGTGACCAAAACGGACACTGACAGGACAACCGCTTTGAAGGGCCTCTCGTAATTTTTGTTTCTGCCCTTCTGAAACATTCAATTTAACATTAGTGTATCGTGACATTTTATATATACGAATATTTTTTTTATTACACTTGTCTGATGTGAAACCTCAATGATAAATTATCTCCTCTTAAATTTAGCAGCGTGCCATTTTGGTCGGTGAGTGAAGTCTCAAGACTGTGTATGGTGTCTAGTGTCACGGGAAGATACACCAAATTTCGTGGTGTTTCAACTATTTTATGTCCAGGGGTGACATTTGGAAAGAAGGAGTATATCGTGTGTTGTGAAGCTCCATTAACGTAGCTCCCTGAGATATTGTCAACATTAACATGCAAGCTGACAATACTAAGAATGTTGACGACATTTTCAGACTCCTGAAATCCTAGTGCGTAAATGTCGTGGTTAAATCCTAATACACTGGAAATGGAGTTGGGATGCCTAAAGTCTACTTGGTAATTATTATCTAAAATAAGGACAGTCTTTAGTGTGTTCGTGTTTGCAGAAATTGTAACGTAATATTCCTCATTGACACTGCCATAGTGTCCATTCTGCCTCATCTTTTGTTGAATTGTGTCGTTAATGTCATCGATGTTATAGATACCTTCTGGTAAATAAATTTCGAACCACGTTGTTCCGCCATCGGGCGAGTATCTAAAATAATTATTACTCGCATCAATGTTAGGAAAAGAGTAGTAAGTCTCGAGATTGACGAGTCCATCTCGTGCTTTTTCTTTTTGTCGAGTTGGATCGGTGGATTGAACCTAGTTCTAAATCTTGTCTTGTTGCTATTCAAGACAATCTGAAACGAGCTTTTAGGCTCAGTGTTTTCAGCTATTTTTTCAAGTATTGGTTCCATTTTTTTATATAATATAATATTTTTTTTTTTTAACTCGGAATATAAAATGTATCAAATCCACTTCTGTACTTACCATTCTGCCTGTGTGGTTTTTCCCATGCTACCTTGCACAGACCTTTGAATTCATCTTTTGACATGTCTTGACTCACATGATCATTATAGATATGGTTGATATTCTTCAGGTCTTGTGGGAACAAGCAGATAAAGTTTGCATTTTCTCTTATCGTTTGGCGTGGTAGCTTGAAGTAGTTTTGTGAAAGGTAGAAACAATCTACATTGCTGTTTCTTCCACGAATATAGTAAGACTCGCATTTATTCTGTTTCTCCAACAGCAAATCATCAAATATCATTAAATTCTTGTTTTCGGAACTTAAATCATGGGGGTATTGGACGTCTTCGGCAGATTCGTAAAAGCAGCATTGTATGTCAGACTTGTCTTTAATCTCTTTAGACCATGCCTCAACAAGCGCTGCGGGTGACACATCTAACCTCATTACCTCATCGAGCAGGTCAAACAAGCGATAATAGCTTCTTTTGGCAATTTCTCTTCAAAAGCTTTCTTAAGGATGCGGTATTCGGGTTGGAATAGACTCTTGCCGAATACTGCTAGCTTGTTATAGTCAAGCCAACCCGGTCTC